AAAAAAAAAAAAGAAGAAAAAAGAAAGACGAAAGAAGAAGAAGGAGAAGAAAAAAAAAAAAAAGATTTAAAATCTCGACTGAAACAACTGACGTTGTTTTTTTTTTTTTGTTTAAAACACCACAGTTTTTGCTTATCGATGTACACTGCAACATCAGATTGGAAGATGGACGAAAAGTAGTCAGGAAGACGGAGTGGCGGTGGGGTGGGGGGGGGGGGGAGGAACAGTAGGAAAGGATACTGAAGACTGGATGTCAAGATACGGCGACAGATTATAAAAGACAACTTCAGCTGGCATCTGAATTTTGTTGATATTGCATGACTAAAGTTTCAAAAGTTTCTTGTGGTGTTACAATAGTTATGCGGCGCATAGTAAAGTTTCGAGTAAAAGACTGTTACTGTTGAAAAATGAAAGAAAAAAGTTTTTTAGCCAAAACTTTTTAGCCAAGATCAATTTTAATTGTTGTTTTTTTTTTTGTTTTTTCAAAAGTAATTTACAAATTTTTACTCCTAAAAAAAACTATAACTTGGCAACTAAAAACACCAACAAATAAGCCACTGTTTTACCCTGAAATTATTGCTGTCGTTATTGTTGCAACCGATTGCTAATTGCTATTGCTGTTGTTGGAAAGTGCTACTTTTAAGCCATATGTTTCAACAATAAAGTTTCAAGGAAAAACTTATAAAGCATTTTCTAAGCATAACAAAATAATTGAATTTTTGCTATCAAAAATATTTACTAAAACATAAGAAAAAAAAAACAAAGAAGTTTATAATCATACGTTTAAACTTTCAATAACATTTGTAATTTCAAACTGAAAGCAACAACAACCGATATTAATGAAACTGCCAATGTTTTACTGCCCAGTGGATACAAAACATTGAGATTATCTTTAGGAAAACAATTATAAATGTGTAATAACAACAACAATTTTTATAAAATGTTTCAAGTGAAACATTTTTTTTTAGTAGGTTATTGCAAAAAAAATAAAAAAGCAAAAAAGACAAGTGTAAATTTTTTTCTTTTTTTGAAACTTTACTGTTTAAGCAATAAAAAAAAGTTATAATATATTCATAAATCCAATTCTTTATGGTTCATATTTTATTATTTTTTTTTGCCTTTTTTGTTTTTTGATGTCTGAAAGCTAATGCTAAGCAAATTATAAATTTAAATATATGCTGAGAATACTACTGCTGTTTATGCATTCTCAATCGTCTTTAAGTTTATTTTTTGTAAGCCATTTGCAAAGACAAAATCAAACTGCACTCAAAAAAGGTGCATTAAACTGAAAAAACCATTTTCTCTGTAAGTGGTCAACCTTCCTTCTAAACTTTTAATTTTTTTGTTTGCAGTATAATTTACTTTTAAGTATTTATGCTTAAGCTGTTTTTTTTTTTTTTAAAATTTTATAAGCATATCTTATAACTACTACTCTAAAAACATTTCCGATGACGTTTTCAATTAAACACAAGACTGGGTCTGTAATTAAAGTTCATTCAATAGCACTGTTTTTTTTTTTGTTTCGTCAAAAAACTTATATAGTTTCATAAAAATAGATAAAGCATCTTACATACTGTTAATTTGATCTATGATATTGAAAAAAAAAAGCAAAGAATTAAACAGACACTTAACGAAAACAAAACAAAAAAAAAAAAGTGCACTTATTATAAACTCGGTTATCCCGATCAGTAAACAGTCTGATATACAACACAGTTTTTTTTTCTAGACTGAACTTAACCACTAAACTAAATCATCAACAATAGTGCATCACCATAAAGATCAGTTAGTTGCACAAATTGTGCACCAACAAATCTACACTTCCAGAAACGTGCAGTAATAAAACAGTCATTGATTTATAACACCTGATTGAGCAATTACTGA